TTATCAAAAGTAACAGGCTTTATGTTTTTTAAGTAATACTACATGCATTTATGCAAGTTATTATGAAGTTTCAAACAGTTTCATCCACTAGTTTTATTGTTGGAATGAAATATAGCAAGACTTGCATTGGCTACTCAGAAAGTTAGTAGCCAGTGGTCATCGGGTTAATGGGGGTTCAAAACAAACGTGTTATATATCTTGGAGAGTGTGCTTTATGGAAGAATGCAATGAAAAAAGTGGCCACCAGTATTGCAATAATGCATAAATTCAGCTGAAGTTTATACTCCAACAGCCACCATAAGGCTGATACGAATAGCTGTTTCTTGAGTTATACCCACTTCCTACTTTGACCCATGACCATTCAACTTCAGCCTGTAGAATATTTCTGTGGTCAATGACCGTCAATTAATTAATCTTGTGAAACACTATAGAAGAACATTAAGAGCTGGGTGTTGAAAGCAGGTAATAGAAAGCACACCTACCACCAATAATTTGTTTGCTACCTTTTCATACAAAGTCATCTTGACCATTGCACAGTGTATACTGTATTTTAAGTATGTACATAGCGAGTTCTTAAAGCTTATACAAAACTGTTGGTGACATAATAATCAATACTGTAGTATTTTATGTTATAAATAAATTGTGTGAAAATTAGGATTTTTGTGTTGCTTATCATAGCATCCACTCACACATTTTTTAAAGGTCATAACCCGAACAAAGGACAGGTACCTCAGCTTGTTATTAATAAATACTATGAGATAAACCCTATTCCTATCTCTCATAATATCCTTTGTTACATAGTGTCTTCAGAATAAAACTTTCTAACAGCTAACAAAAGGTTTTGAGAAGTCTAGTGTTTTAGAGTAAACAAAATAGTAAAGTATCAAGAATTATGTAAGTTAAGTATTTAGAAATGTCTACAGGAGATGTAGATATAAAAACAGCATAGGGAGTTTAAATGCAGTTGGGTACTTGTGCCATTGGTGAGAAAGAGGGAATCCTTGCTCTAATGGATGAACTGAGAGTTAAGATCAAGAGAATTGGTAGAAGTGAACCACTCTGTAGGGAGTGGAGGGAAAGGCATAGGAAAACCTCTATTTTTGAGGAATCTGTCTAGTTTTTTGATGAGGTGGGATAAGAGAAGGGAACTGAAGACTAGTAAAGAAGTGGTTGAAGAACATTTGTGGAGAACATATGGTGATGTGAATAGGGCTGTTGATCTTGAGTCCATGCCAGGGTTAAGATGACCAACTGGGTCAAGATATCAGTTTTATATGGGTAACCTCAATTTTGAAGACTTTAATTGGGTTGTGAGAAATGCCAAAGGAGGAAGTGCCTCTGGGGTTAATGCAATCAGCTGTAAGATATACAAGAAGTCTCCACATGTCCTAGCAATCTTGGCACAGTTGTTTGATAAGTTATGGGAGAAGGACTGTGTACTCGATGAGTGGGGTATAGTAAATGAGGTGTTTAAAGAAGAAAAAACTGGTTCCATGGGATAGCTC